TAAGTAGCTTAATATCTCTGGCGCTCGATCGACTCGATTGTACTCCGATAGTCCCGATAGTCCCGATGATGCGCGGACGATACCGCCCCGTGGCCCTTACGGTAGATGCCATGACACACTCGACTCTAGACGATGAGAGCATCTCGCGACGAGAAACCGCGAAACGGTGGCCACAGAGAGCACCCACCCCAAGACACTAAAATCGTCGCGGGGCCCTCGTCGTGGCTCACGGCTTGGCTCGAGCTGGCTTTGGTGGGGTGGTTGGAGGTGCGGACAGTGGTTGAGAGGCTGGTGGGGTTGGAAATTGCGTGGTGGTGGGTGTTCGTCGAGGTCTCGGAGGCCCCTCCGTGGCATCTCGCTGCCTACCCATCGAGGTGGGGGTGTAAACAACAGCCCTGCCCGTGTACCTCGCCGTCGTTTCGCCTCTGCCCTGCTCTCCGTCAGCTGATGCATCTTTTGCCTCGCCGCGTGCCGCGTGCCGCATGCCGTTTCGTCGATCTCTTTCCTATTTCCGTCCTTGGTACGGTCCCGGGTACGGTCAAAGGAAGTACGAGTAGGGAGAGGATCACGGAGATTACTCTCTCGGCCTCGCGCCTTAGAAGAAGGGAGCTGTTCATAGAGCTGTCTTCATAGAGAGCGGGAGAGAAGCAAAGAGAGGGAAATGGAAAAAAAGCTCGCGTCACGCGCTTCTCTTTCGTGATCTTTTTTTTCCAACATGGCGGGCGTATCCGCGTATACAAGCAACGCCGTGCACGACTTTCATTCACCGACTTGACCCCGACTTGACGCCGTCGGCCTGATTGTCGAAGTGATTGCGAGTCAAGTCGGTTGCGGGACGGAAGATGAACGGATCTTCTCGATGCATTTCTTCCCTTTCCCTTTCCCTTAAATCTCTGAAATTTCCTTTTCTTTTTCCTCCCAATAATAAAACCAAGAACGTATATGCGTCGCATCACATCGCATCGCATCGCACGGTATTGCGAGGCTGGTGGAGAGCCGTGAGGAGGAAAGCGGAAAGGAAACGAATGCGGGACGTCGCGTCGCGCCGATCCGTTTGGCGTGCAGCGTCCCGTATGTAGTAATGCGAAACGCTACCTAGCTTGTCTAGCTAGACGGATCTTGCGAAAAATCTGCATTAACGTATATATATGCGCGGTACTTGCTTTCGCGGAGCGCTTGATTGAAACAAAGATACGATACATCCGAGGCATTTGAGTATGTAAGGAGAGACAGCGGAAGGGAAGAGGGGGAGAGAGAGAGAGAGAGCGCGCGTGTGAGAGACAAAGATAAACTTAGCCTCGACTAACCTTAGGAGAATCGTTGCGCCATGACGACATGCGCGTCTTACGAGACCGTCTAGCCGAATCTAGACTAGCGTTGGTAGTCGGTACGAGCGAGAACGGAGCCGTCCGATCAGTCGCGTACGCCATTCCGCGTACAACGAAAAACACGTTGCGTGGTGTCGACGAGTGAAGCGTAGCGCCTCGTGTCCGAGAGCTCGAAATTCGTAATTCATCCGAACATTTTCTCTCTCTCCCTTTCGAAATAACACCCTTGGCCCTCGAGTGGCGTACACGCGCGCACGGCGGTACACAACACCCACACCCGCGAATATCTTAACCTCTTTCTCTCTTCCCATTAAACAGATCCCGTCAACGAACGTTCCTAGCCAAGGGTGGGGATTGCCTCAGTTATCGTTATCATTGTCATCATTGCCCCAATTCGTCTGGCGCGCGCCGTGTCCGCCCGCTATGGGTACCTTCGCCCCCTGACGTTTTCGCGTTCCCCTTCCCCGGGGAATCTCGGTGTGCCGAGGTTCGACTCCCTTCTTTCTTGACATTCCCCTACCCTTGTCAATTCGCCTTCTTTCTCGTTCCATTCTCGCGGTATACGCTACGTTGAGGTAACGCGCGCGAGAGAAAGAGGAACCGAGTCTCGAGTCTCTATTTCGCAGTAGGTTCCCACCTATGATACCTCCCCCCTCCCCCTCCTCCCCTACCCTCAACGCGCTCCTACCCTTTGCGTTGCACCCGTAGGGGCATCGTCGCCGCGCACTGGAGTGGAGTGGAGTGAAGTGAAGTGGAGTGGGGTGGGATCCTGGGCCACTTTGACGACTATTCTCCCTGCTCCCGGATCCCTTTTAGGTAGGGGAGGGGGTGAAGTGGGGGAGTCCTCACCCCACCCTCGTGCACGCGGAACGCAATATCACTAAGACTCCGAATCGGAACCACGTTACTCACCTCTCTCTCTCCCCCCCCCTCTCTCTCTCTCTCTCTCTCTCTCTCTCTCTCTCTCTCTCTCTCTCTCGGTGCCACTTATTTAAATGTCGAATTTTGATTTTGTCGCAAAAACGATCAAGATAGAAACGATCTTGTTATCGTTCGCTAACGCGCCTTGTCATCTCTTCTTGTCCGATATATATTCGTATACCATAAATGCGATGGAAATAAATGATAAATGAATAAAAAAATATTACACGTTTGAATAAACGCTCACCAACTTTTTCAGCACGTATGTGATTGATAAAGCACTTCTCATTTATCTATTATAGGCTCTATCATCTCTGTCTTTCTAAAATTGATGCTTTTACATGTTTGTAACATCCAACACATATCAAACATAAATATATATACATATATATATCAGTGATTAAAAACAAAAATTTATTAATTTTCGAACTGCCCTATAATATCATAACAGTGTCTTCTAATTAGTCAAGTCATCTTGTAATATCTCGTTGTGTCTTAAAAGAGTAACAACAACGGATGTACCTTTCCTTAGAAATGTGTCAATGTTAAATTTTAGAGATGAAACAAACTTTGTAGTCAACTGCTACAATAACGAGAATGTATCTTTTCCTGTTACAGGTGTAATCGTCAGAATTTCAAAAAATGAATTTCACGCCTTTTCCTGGATTTACTGGCTCGTTGCCGACCGGCACTGTTCATCAATTCGCCACAGCGAAATTCGCGCAGAATCTTACCACTGGAGGACAGGTGGTCGGAGTTTTATCTGGTGGTGAAGGTGGAGTTCATTATTTAAGACCAGTCGATCCAAATGGCTTTGCTGTAGCTCAGAGTGGTAATAGTCAACAGCAACAAATTATTACTTTGCCTATCACTGTTCCGGGAAAGGATGGTACGCAGCAACAGCAGACTGTTCAAATACAAGTGGTCAATCCTAGCGTGTCTCAAAGCGGAAATAGCGGCGATCAGCCAAAGTATCACTTGGCACCGATATCCCTGAGTCAGTTTCCACAAGGAGCAGCTACCGTTCTCACTGTTGCCTATAGTCAGCAAGGCGCGGATGGTGTTCAAATTCAAGTACAACCGCAAAACACCGTAGCGACTACACAAACGTAAGTTAATTTATAAGTGTATTCAACATTCTATAACTCTCTATTATGTCGCATATTACATTTTGCACAAATTGTAAAAGCAAAATCTTAGACAAAGTTAAAAAAAAAATGATGGAAAAAGGAAAAAAAAAGATTTTGCCGATTGACACTTTAATTCGATTGCAGGTCTGATCAAACGACACAAAGTACGTCTACTGCTGTGACCACTACGTCTCAACAGACTATTCAACAGACAGTACAACTTCCGGGAGCACCCGAAGGTCTGACTGTAGTTGCCCAGATTCCTCAAGACTTAATTCTACGAGAGAGCATAGAGGAGTCTAAGGAGGATGTTAAGGAAGGTACGACACCTGTGGCTCTTATTAAACGAGGTAGTGTCAAGAGTCAAGGTAATCAGAGTGGGGAAGAATTCATTACTTCTATGCCTGCCAGTTGGCAGAGTCTCGCTACACCAGGATCCACGGTCGCAGATTATCTCTCCAGACTGCCAACAAGTACTTTGCCTCTTAGTTTGCAACATTTTCTCAAGTTTTCGGCGGAAACTATTAAAAGGGAAGCTACCATTGAATCTAGTCCGCTCGGACCGGATGGTCTCGATGCTTCCGGAAGTACAGCTTCGGGAGAGCAAGCTGTGCAGATTACAGTCGCCGGAGGAGAAACGGCCATCATTCCTGACGTTGTCGAAGAACAGGAGCCAGGAGCGAAACCTAAGCGGAAAAAAAAATACAAAAAGAAACCACCGAAACCGAAGAAACCAAAACCAGGACAAGTGAGTATAGTCACTGCTCTCGATGGTACGACCCTATTTTGCTGCCCTCAATGTAATATGGCGTATCCGGAGAAGGAAAGTTTAGAACAGCATTTGATTGGACATAAAATAGAGAGGAGATTTATATGCGACATTTGCGGCGCTGGTCTTAAACGAAAGGAACATTTGGAACGGCACAAATTAGGCCATAATCCTGATAGGCCTTTCATCTGTTCCGTTTGTATGAAGGGCTTTAAACGAAAAGAGCACTTGAATCTTCATTTTGTTATACATTCTGGGCAAAAGACCGAAGTTTGCACCGAATGCGGCAAAGCATTCTATCGGAAAGATCACCTTAGAAAGCACGCGAGATCTCATCTTACTAAGCGTGCCAAAGAGGATCCATTGAATACGACGAACGATACGACGCAGAATCAACAACAGACGGACCAACAACAAGTGGAACAAATACAACAATCGTCGGTACCCGAATTGCAGCAAATTCAGATTCAAGTAGGACAAGGATCCCAAGCGCAGATTCACCAGATATCGGTTAACGAACAATCTACCGTAGTTTTGCCTACAGCGGCTGAAACTGGAGCTATGACAATGCTTCATCATCAGCAACAGCAGCAGCAGCAACAGCAGCAGCAGCAGTCGCAGCAGTCACAGCAACAACAATCGCAACAGTCGCAACAGCCGCAGCAACAGCCACAACAGCAGCAGCAGCAACAACAGCAACAGCATTAGCAACAGCATACCGCCCCAAATCAACTTGGGCGGTTCTTTCGTTTCAATCATCAGCACGCTAAATGTCGTACACGACGTAGCGTACTCGCTGATTGAGTTTTGCAAATTCGATAGGAAAATTCATATTATCGGACGAAAGTTTCGTTGGCTAGTTGATTACTGATTACTTCATTGTAGTCTCTTTCAAAGGCATTTGAAACACCTCCATTTCTTTAAGATGTATGTCCTTGGTCCATCGACACAAAGCCAGTTTATTAGGATTGAAATGTTCGCGCCATCGGTTTGAACCTTTAATCACAAGCTCGTGTTTATAATAATTATCTTGTAAGGCGTGTCGAGCTGAAGTGACAAAATGCGTATACACAAATTCCTCTTTTACGTACACGTTGTAGCGTACGTGCAAAGAAGCGGCAAAGTTGCCACTCGCCTCAAATAAGATTGTTTTTGTCGCTAATCCAGTTCCATGACGCAAGTTAGAAATAAATATGAAGTTTATACATATATATATATATATATACACACACACACACACACACAAACACAACACACGCACACACAAACACACACAAATAAAAATATATATTTTTGAAAGCGCGAACTGGATTCGCCCAAGATAACATGGCGATCGAGTTTTGGGCTAATAATAATCGATTATATTTGAATGATAATTCGCTTTTACGACGATGATGATAAAAAATACGTAATGAAAGAATTAACGCGAGAGAAATACGGTATGGAACAGAGTTTGTAAATACACGTGCGAATTTTCATGAATGTGAGAGGAAATGTAATAATAATGGTACATGCCGTATGCGCGCGAGATGAACCTATTTATTTCTCTTATGCAATACAATCGTGACATTATAAGGGAATCTGCCGAGATAAATTGTAAGTTCAATTTGTATTTTGTAGGAATATATCAACGGAAGCATGCTTACATTTTTCTATAATTTAGATCATTGCATATGTTGCCTTCGTAAAGACGCAAAGTATTGGGGACGATCAAACCCATGCTATACGAATAACGAGTTACGAGTTGGTGGTAGAATTACATATAAAGAACTCATAACGTTTAGTACTTTTTCAGAAATGGTAGGGAAAGGGATAATAATTATGAAAAATTACTGAATTACGCATTTGCGTAATAATTTACGCTGCTCTGAAATCAACGTTTCTACAATCGTAATAATTCTTCGCAATCCGCAAAGGATTCATCTTGATTTAATTGATATCGATGTTTGCGCAAAAAGAAGCAAACTTGCACTTGTGTGGAATCATTACGGACAAATATGAAACAAACTTGCGTGAATTCAATTGGGTACGATTAAATGATACGATACAAAGTATGTAAAGGAATATAGATGAAGAAAACAAAAAATATAGAGAACTAAAATCTTCGAATGTTAACCAAATCGATGAATCGTGATTCACCTGAAAAAGCTTTTTTATAAAGGTGTATGTATACATGAAAAAAAACTTCTTATTGTAAGTATTACAATTAAAGGCAATGGGTAACTGTACAAGAAATATTATTATTTTATTATCATAATATTATACAGATATATATACCATTATCGTAGTTAGGATAAGAGTAGTACATAAGTCATTTTCATTGTTACTTACATAAATATTGGAGGAGAAAACTAAAATAAAACATACATTTAATACAAAATTATTCTTGCCTCTCTAATGAGATTCGTACATACCGTTATCCTTTCCTTCGTAAATAATTTCGTTAGATTCAAATTTTATATACTGGGTGATCCGAAATTCACGAATTTATAGTACAGGACATGATACTTTATGTTAAAACAAACAACTTTTTCCTTTAACAAAATTGCGTCTGATAAATATTTTTTACGCTTATTTGTTAACTTTAACCTGTTCTTTTGTAAAAACTACTTGTTAGACGTAATTTTGCAAAAGGGAAAAAATTATTTCTTTTAGCATAAAGTATCAAGTCCTGTACTCTGAATTTGTGAATTTCAGATCACCCTGTGTGTGTGTGTGCGTGTGCGTGTGTGTGTGTGTGTGTGTGTGTGTGTGTATCAAAAGATGTATGCGAAAATAAGGGTGAAGTATCTATCATAGAGGGGATGTAATGGTATATCGACGGAAAAAGGTGCAAAATGAGAATCTTCCTCACGATTCTAGTATTTTTAACCTGTTCACGTCGCGGCGCCGGTGCGATGCGATGCGATGCGGTGCGATGCGATGCGTCGCGGCGCGTCACGTCGAGAGGCGGGAGATCCGGGAGAGAGAAAAAATAGTTAAGAGACTGGCACAGTAGAGGGCGGATAGGTGGGATGGGGACACCGGCTTGAGAGACAGGTGTCAACTGTACACAGTACGAGAAATCTTTTTGTCAGTGACGGCTGGTTGCGTGGAAAAAACGTTTCAAGCGAGTTTGAGCGAGGATTACCGGATGGTAAGCGACAATCCCATATCGTATCTTTTACATTTTGGCTGCGCGCGTAGTACGCGCTAGACTGAGAGTCGTACGCACGGCCATTTTCTCTCGAGTTTGATATGTACGGTGATGGTACTCCACGTCCCACGCTGCGTGTATCATATCGACTAAGTATCGGACGAGGTGGGGCGCGGAAGAGGAGGAGAGAAGAGAGAAGAGGGGAGGAGGACGGCTGGTTGGCTGGCGGTTGCGTTTCCCTAGTCCCTACGCGTGTAACGCGTCCCCTTGACAATTGACCTCCCCTCCGCGCGCGCGCGCGCGTGCACCCCATCTTCCATGGCTATCTTTCGTCGGCGGTTTTTTTTTTAGTCGCGATAATCGCATCCTTTTTTTTCGTCGGCATGTTCTCGAGTAGAGCCGGTAGAGATCACGTTCGTTGCGCGAACTAGAGGGGTGGTGTGTGCCATATCTAACCGTGGCGTGTCCTTGGCCGCGAATCACCTTGGTGTCGCCGGTTGACGATCATACGTCAAGTTGTCAGTGTTGAAGTGGCGGGTAAGCTTGGGATGCAAGCATTACAAGCCAAATCGCCTGATCCGATCCGAGATCCGAGTCGTGACGGAATTGCTGATCGACGCTGATCGACGCTGATAGAGTGGCGTGGTGCGTGTCTACCGACGCGCTTTGACGCTTCTGTGTCTCACAGAATCTCGGCATTCTCGGCGTCTCCCTACCTACCGCTCTCTTTCTCTGATTGTCTTTCTCTGGCGTATCCTCACGTGCGAGAAGAATCTGCACTCTCCCCTCGCACTCTCGTCTCTGTCACAGGGATTTCCTCCAAAGAAAGAAGAGGTGCGAAGAAAGGATCCGATACGGCGAGGAAACATGGGGAGAGGGACATCGTTGTGAGTAAATATAACGCCGGGCGTCGCACGTCGTCGCTCGTCATCGTCGTCGCTCGTCATTGTCGTCGCTCGTCGCTCGTCATCGTCGCTCGTCGTCGTCGTCGTCGTTGTCATTGCCGTCGTCATTGGTATCGTCGGGCGCCGCTACCGCTACCGCCACCGCTGCCGCCTCTGCCACCTCCTCTTCCTCCGCTGTCGCCGCGTCTTTACATAGACAAAGTTATGCCAGCGAGTCGAGATGCCGTTGCATCGGCATGCGTAGAGGTACGCGATGAGAACGGAGCGATTTGGAACGCGGCCGGCGCGGCGACGGCCTCTCGGCTCGCTTCCACACGGGTCCATTCGCCTTTATTTCTCTCACACTTCGCTTAAGGAGATATACATACATCTCCTTCGCATCTAGTAACCTTGAATTTTTCAAAAGTATTCAAATTCAAAAATTGCACTTGCTCGAAAGATACTCATCAGTTTTTTTTCTCTCTTTCTAGATACACGAATTCTGCTTACGGTCTGCAATGAATTTCCCACCGTTCGGAGGTCATTTCCCTAGCACCATACCGAGTATCCATCAATTTGCAACCGATAGTTCCAGTGGTGCAGGCGCGCGTTACGCCAATCATTTTCCCAACCAGCCTCCAATCGGAGTGCCGGTTGTGGGAAAATACCGTCCCGAGAACAACGGCGTACAGTCGGCTCAATCGCAAGTAATGATGAACAATAAAGCTAGTTATCCCAACAGTTCTAATGTTCATCATTATCCGAATGTGCCGTACACTCAAGCTCAATCGGTTCAACAACGACCAACCAACTCGCCTGGAATGCAAGAGAAACGATCGTATCATCAGGTAAAATGCAACTTCTCTTTCTTCTAACACCTTATAGCCCATTTTCTTTCAATATTAATCAACATATTTATTTATGTTTCTTTTTTTTACCGCTCACTTACGCTCTCAATACGGTCAATCGCGCATTCCACTTCTTTAGCTTTTTTTCTACATTGTCTTGTCATACATTCGTAAATATTAATAAGATTCGCGAAACGAGCGATAGATAATCGCAATCGTCGAAATAACAACTTGACAAAAACTTGTTTTCTCTCATTTTTTAGCAGTTTATATGGCAGTATATATTTATTTAGCAGTATATATGAAAACATGTCAAATTTCTCTCTTCTCGTCAATCAGAGCTAGAGTAAATTTTTATATTGTATTGAATTATAAGAATAAAATAAAACGATAATATCGTACCATACGAATATTTTATCGGAACGATAAATAATATCAAATTACTCAACATTATGGATTATTCGTGGATTATTGCTACAAGAACGATGGAGCTTTTGAATTTTAAGTATATATACGTATTCTTCTGTCACACAGCAATCTACGGAAACTATAAATCAACAAGATGTTTGCAACCTTCTTCAAGACAAGGACAAGAGCAAGGAAAAGAAGGCTGAGGAGCAACAGCGGAATGGAGAGACTACGACGAATGGCACTCAACAGGATTATACGATGCACCAACATCAACAACACGCTCATACTCAGACGCCAGCTACTATGCCCGCAACGTGGCAGTCGCTCGCGACTCCCGGTTCCACTGTAGCTGATTATCTCAGCCATTTACCAGCCAGCACTTTGCCATTGAGTTTACATCATTTTCTCAAGTATTCTGCCGAAAGTATCAAAAAAGAATCAGAAATGGCGCAAACAACCTCAGTGGCTGTGGCGACTACAACAACGCCCAATATAATGATGTCACCGAATAATAAAAAGAAGAAAAAGAAGAAGACGCCGAAGGAGAAGAAACCACGTCCGAAACCTGGCGAAATTCGTTTAACGACAGCATTAGATGGTTCGACATTATATTGTTGTCCAGAATGTCATATGGCATATCCAGAACGAGAATTGTTAGAGCAGCATCTTTTAGGTCACACTTTAGAGAGAAGATTTGTTTGTGACATATGCGGCGCTGGTTTGAAACGAAAAGACCATCTTACGCGTCATAAACAGAGCCATAATCCTGAGCGACCTTACGTTTGCACCGTTTGCTTGAAAGCTTTTAAAAGAAAGGAACAATTAACACTACATTTTGTAATACATTCTGGGGAAAAGCGACACGTGTGCACTGAATGTGGCAAAGGATTTTATCGGAAGGATCATTTACGGAAACATACCAGAAGTCACATTGCGAGAAGAGTGAAGGCTGAATTAAGTCAAAACGCTGGTAAGAAGTGTATTTATTACGTATTGCACGAGATATCGAGTACGAGCTTAAAATAATTCCTTTTCTCACATTATACCATCATCATGTATATGATACTTGTGTTGTAGGTACGCAACAGAATCAACAACAAAATAACGTTTCGAATATGCAAACCACAACTGTCTCAGCATCCGTTCTTCCGGGTGGACATCCGGGTTCTCTCCTGTCCTGAGCCCCGCCACCAGGGAACTTTCAGGTTCCCCATCCAAATAATATTCTTCATACTCATACATCGCATCATTCGCTACATCATCATCATCATCTAACGGCAGTAAATGTAGCACATCAATCAACCGTCACACCACTCGCTACGTCTGGTCATTATCAGTCACATGAGCTTAACTTTTTGGGCCACGTTAAAGATTTCTGAGACGAGGAGAGAACCTCGATGAAGAGGTAACACCAAGATGCTAATCAATTGTCACTATCATCGCCAACGACGATAATAATTAGCTCCGAGACTGACTCATGATTTGAATTGAATGAATGAATTTTATAAATGTGTATTTACATTATTTGTGCTTCTAATTTCCTCCTCGTTTTGTCTTGTCAATATAATAGGGAAGGGGAGGAAAGTGATGTCTCATTCCTTCTTCAAATCTTAATTTATTTTTAAATAGACAACTTGTTATATTTGTCATGTAATTTTCATTGCCAGTAATGTTCCCACCACAATAATAATGCTATACATCAAGAGACATGATAATATTTTACGCAAATACAAGAGATGTCCAATTATAATAAATCTTCCCTGTAACTAGACTAATATATTTCTTTTTACATTGTTTCATTTTGCAAAATGAAAAATTATTTTATAAAGATAATATTTGTCTAGCTGAAAATTAATCAAATTCAAGATCATTAAAATCTTTTATTAATCTCTTGAAGATCTCTTATTAAGATCTTTTTTTTTCCTTTTTAGATATGAAACGTGATGTTTTTTCACATAATTAATTTTTCTAGTCATTTTGCATGTAATAGTATTATGATAAGTCATCAGCAATCAAATTTATACAAAATACATATTACAAATTTATTTTATATTATATAAAAATGTTATTTATTTTATTCAAATATATATATATATATATAAGTTTTGAAAAAAATTTTACTTCATCGATTATATAATTGGACATCCTGTTTATAAATGTATTATAGGAACAATTTGTGAGATATAATAAAGCGTATCTTTTAGAAAAAAATGCTTTTTTCGAATAATAATATATAAAAAATAAAAAACAGTCATAGACACTTATATGCTCTTTATAGCACAAACAAAAAGTACATGGGAAAAGTACTAATTTTCCACGGAAACTCTAGAGTAGAAATTTGACTACAAGTCAAAAATTCTTGCCATACGTCGTGTGCGAGGAAAAAGAAGATATTTTTATGAAAAGTCGATGTAACTTAGAAACTAAGTGATTCGATGAGAGAGAGAGAGAGAGAGAGAGAGAAAGAGAGAGAAAGAGAGAGAGAGAGAGAGAGAGAGAGAGAGAGAGAGAGTATGCGTGTGCGCGCGCGCGTGATGTGTGCGTGCGTGCGTAAGAGAGATAATATCTCTTTATTTTGTTTTTTTATATCATTGAATTTACATTCATATGAATAATGTATACAGTAATTGTCAATATTTTTTTAATTTTTTGTTAAACAACATTACAAGTGCAAATAGTGTAAAAGGAATGAAAATTACATAATATTCCTAATACACATAATAGAATTACAAGTTAACCCACCGATTAGAAAACAATTTTTTATTTTATGAGAGTAGAATTATTATTTCATTTTTTTAGTTCATAAAGGGAAAAAATTATTTATATTAATTGTAAAATTTTTTGGTTATGCTTTATAAAAATGTAAAAGCATAGCAATATTTCATAATAGATAAAAATCATATTTTGTTTTATTAAAACTTACGTTAGTTTAATATATAATATAAAGTTGACAGTATTTTATATTTTTATGATAGTTCCAAATTTTTCTCTTGTATGTGCAGTGCGCGTGCATGCGTGTGGATGTAGGTTGTATGCAGGATCTATATGTATATAACATTACATGTAAATCCAAACATATTTGCCCAAATAATTGAAGCAAATATATTCCTTATTTTCCTTTGTGACTTATCACAGCATTGACCACTTGTCATGTTTAATTAGCCTTTATAATTTTTATATAACTTTTTACATTGTTTTTATACATATTTTTCGTTGGATTTCTTATATTCGTTACATTCGTTGAATACTGATTATATATATATAGATACTATATATACATAAGATTAATTTTTTAAGTATGTAATTTTTAAGTATAAAAATATACGCGTATGTGTGTGCGTGCGTGCGTGCGCGTTGTGTGCGTGTATGTTTAAGGTAGTTTTTAATTTTTATCCACATCGCAAATCTCTTCACAGACTGTGATCGTTCCCAGCGGACATCTGATGTAATTATCAATTATCTGCGTTTTAAGTTTATATTTTTGTATTACTCATTTTAGTATTAATGTGCCATTTATTTTAAATTTATTTCCTTTCAATTTTTTTCTTGCCATACTAATAGATATTTGTCAGATACTTATATAATCATAGGTATCGCTGTGTGCATGGTTACGCACGTCTCACACACACACACACACACACACACATTTTTTACAAATTAATTATCATCATCATTATCATTGTCATTGTTATTATTATTATTTCTTATTATTATCATTATTGTTATTATTACAATTATTATTTATCTTTATGCATATTCATAAATATTATAGAGAAGAAACGACGGACGTGTGTGTATATATTATATAAACATGCATATTGCAACGTGAAATGTTAGAAATATGATGAGAAATATAAGAGAATTTACCTTTACTATTACAGAAATAAAAATTCCGAATATACAATTGTATATGTCTGTTGATTAAAACTTTATTGCTAAGCTTTACTGCTAAGCTTTATTGAAAAAGTTATATATCGGTATTAAAATATTTTATAATTTTATAATTTACAAAAATGTTTAAAGATACAAGTTTGCAATGTAATTACAGTATCTACTATTTACATATATTATTACACTTATTATGCTTAAAAGATTATTCGAATTTTTTTAGCTTTTCATCATATCTCTAACGTAAATCACGTTTTGAGTAACAGAAAATTCAGGTTTCGTCAGACCTCAAATATAATGATATATTACAATTATTTCATACACACTGGTATATATACATGTACATTGTACGTGTTTCATATATACTGGTATATATACATGTGTATACTAAAAACCATATGTAAGAGATCAATTAATATTAAGATATTTCATTGCCACGTACTTATAACTGTCGAGGCAGAGCGTTAGTCTTAAATTATACAATAGGGAGTAAGAGTTTATATACAGATATACACACTATTAAATAAGGAAGAAACAGAAGAAAATAAAAATTAAAAGCTGTATTGCAGGACGTGTAAAATATCGCGCACTTTTTTTTTAATTTGTTGAGAAAAAGTTTAAGATGTATACATATTTTTTCTTGTAACGCAAAGTATATGACAGTTTTAGAGGCGTGTGAGAAAAGAAAAAAGAAAAGTTTATAAAAAATTAAGTTTTAAATTAGAGAATTATGTGGATCTTTAATAGTCTTTTAATTTAGAGATTATTTATCGAATGCTTAAAGATTGATAATTGGAAAAGATGCCACCGAATCGATTTTTTGTTAAGACGAAAGTCCAGATAATAGAATGACATGGAAAGATGATGTAGTGACGTCTATTTTGATCTATTTTGATCACTATTGTCATCTTTTGAATGTCCTCTGATACTTGGAAAAAGAGCGCGAGATTTATCATACGTCCTACATATGAGAAGAAATCGACGAAAATATATGGAAATGATACAAGTCTTGAGGAAAGTAACCTGTTTTATTTGCAGACAGTAGACAAGATATACAAATAATAAAATGAAAGATGAAAGATAACGAGAAGAAAAAATAAATAGCTTTATGAGAGAGAGAGAGAGAGAGAGAGAGAGAGAGAGAGAGAGAGAGAGAGAGAGAGGAGAAAGGAAAGCGGATGAGAGAAAGAAGCAAATATTTCCAAAGTTCGACATACTATTCAAACAAATGAATGGCTCAAGATCTATTTTGAAGGATAGCTAAAAATTATTCCATTCTCGACGAGGCGAGTTTATTCTTATGGTTTATAGAAACAATCGTTTCGTCGAGCTGCATAGATGTAGTAATGTTCCTGTAGAAAAAGGAAAGATAATAGTTAATGAGTTTCTAAAAAAAAAAGGAGGAATACTTTTCCGGTGCCTTTATATTGCGCTGGATTTTCCGCATCCGTATAGTTTTCCATGATAAGGTCTAAGTCGAAAAAGCGGCGCGTTGTGCCTCTCCGTTCTCGGAACTACGTGTACACTTGTCCGCCTCCACGATATTGATTCGATCATCTTTTTCGTTTTTGTTTCTTATATCTTTTTTTGCAACTACAAGCGTCAAAATATTATCGGAATAGCTTGAATTCTGGGATGTAACATATATCTTTGATTATCAAGTATACTTCGTATCTGTCAATGAAATTTCTTCATTTTTTTAAAAAATCAAAAGCCAAAAGGAATAAATACAATTTATCTGTATCATATGTGAATGTGTTTATCATATTCGATGAACGAGAATACCATATTTCGTTTATGTGCCTTTTTCTCTTCTGAAAGAAAATATAATGTATTCGATTCATTTTTTTTTCCAAATCGAATGTTGATTAATTTTAGTAATTACAGGAAACAAACACGGTTATTGAAATGTCATTTCTATGAAGTATTAGGCATGCTCATTCTATTTGATGTCTCGGTGACATCTTATACTTGATTTTCTTAATTAAAAGCGATCAATTATGAAGATGAATTTTATGAAAGATGATGCTGTTGCTGATGATGATGATGATGATGATGATGATGATGATGATGATGATAATAAACTCATAGTAATAACAATAATCATAATATTAAAATAACAAAACAATAATAATATTAGTAATAATAACAATAATGATAATAGTAAGATTAGAAGCAACATAGAGAAAATAAGATCCGATTCTCTTGCGACGCGCTTACTAGTTTTATGCGAAACCGCAAAAAAAAGACTAAAAAACTTTTTCAAGTCAACACTGATTTACATTTGATGTGAATCATGTATAATGCGTAGCTTATTTCCTTCATGTATTTACAATTGTTCAATAATTTACCATCTTATGATGTGAAATCCGTAAGTACTCTTTTATAATCTGCTCGAAGCGCGAATAATGCTAAATAATTTTTGGCATTTTTTCTCTTCCGTTCTCTTGCCATAAATGTACGTATACTTGTAAAGTATTTTTTTTATTGTTGTATCAATCTGCTATTTTGTTTATCAATTCATTTTTGTTACGAACTGCGAATATATCGAAGAATGGTAGATCGTATAAAAGACGACCATTTAAAAACTAATTAGTCGTCATAAAACTATTTGACAAGGATAGTAAAAAAATTAAAAAAAAAGAGCGTGACACCATTTCGATGTACTCGGATGTGAATCTCTCAGGAGCAGAGATGACAATGAGAAACATATTTTTCTATGTGCAGTATCAAAACTTTCAATTATCTGTATTAAAGATATAGGGCAAAGAAAAAGAAAGAAAAGTGAATTTATTCCATCATAAAACGCGAGTATCGCAAGTGCGAGTGTAATTTTATTAATTAATTCGTGCAAAAAACAAAAGTTGAAAGGATGAACGTGCGTTATTGCTTGTTGTCAAAATCTATTTCTTACTTGTCGAAGAATTTCTAAAGCAGTCACTTTTTGCGAAATGCATTTGCGTAACATATTAAATATAGCCAATAAGAACATCTCGTTCAATAGAACATTTTGCATAGACCAAGACGCATCGTTATTTTTTATCGTTCTGTTTAGTCTTTTTGGCTTATCTTTAATCGACGCCTTGTCGCTATGAGTGTGTGCTACAAGTGTATGCGTGATTGCGTATGCATAATTACAAAGTTTATGTAACACAAATATGTTAACAGGCGATTGATGAAAAAACAAACAAATTCCTCGACATAGTACAAACGCTCACAAATTCTTGTTTTTCTCAAATAGATTAGATGCGTGACAAGGTGTACAAGTCATACGAGTGAAACGACCGGCTGACCTCGAAGTACGAATTTCTTTTTGTCCAATAGCAGTATGATCTTTTCCGAAATATAAGTATGTCTTATGTAGGAAGCAAACGCGAACGAATCTTTACAATGCGATACATTCAGATATTGAGTGCTCGATTCAGTTTGTATTTTCGAAACAAATTTTAAATATAATCTCCATAACTTTTTTCGTCTTGCTTATCATCTACGAACCTTCCTGTCTCTCCAAATGCTACTTTTTTACTTGATATTATCGAAACAATAAACATCATTTTGAGGAAAGAGAGAAGAGGATGCTGAAAATTTTTTAGTTTAGTAGTTATATATTATACTATACACGAATACAAACGCGAAGTGACTTCGAGGATTCCCGGCAAATTGTCACATTACACTGATGGCTTTGTAATATCTCTTCTAAATGTTTTAATCGATTATTCTTTCGTTTAAACTATTTTAATTTACATTTTACGATCATTTCTACATTGCTGCATCGTTTTTGAATATTTGTACCGCATAGTCTTCCAGGGTACAAAAATACTAATTATACGCGTTGTATGTAAATAAAAAATTAATACATAATGAACAAGCACCGAAGGATAGTGAAGAGAAAAAAAAGGACAAGACAAATATACTAAACAAAAAAAAGTATAATTAAGCGATTTTCTGATATAACGTTTTATTTTTATATAGAATGCTGTCTATCGAGTCTAAGAACGTGAAATGAAAAAATGAATAGACGCGGAAAATATAAGAGTGTTAGATAATAAAAAAGAAAAATATTCTGAAAAACTCTAGTATGTACTAGAAAACGAATAAATTTAGATCGCGAACTGAAAGTCTAAAATTTGTGCACATTTTTCAGATGTTTCAGATGAATATCTTTATATATTACATCATATTCGATGCACGCGCGCGCACGCACGCACGCACACACACACACACACACACACACACACACGCGCGCGCGCGCGCGCGCGCGCGTATGTATATTCATGAAAATGCACATATATTTTTTCTTACAATTCGTATATACATATATGATGTGTGTACATACAGATATACATGTATATGTATAAATTGTAAGTCGTCAGATTTATTGTTCGGAGCATCATTATTCGAAAAAGTTCGACTCTCTCTCTCTCTCTCTCTCTCCCTCTTCCTTCCTTACCTCCCGTTGCTTTCTATTTTTTCTGTTCTTATGCACGAGAATGTGGCTAAAACCATCGATCGATTTAAATATGCGTTTTTGCATTTCCAATAACTATGTATTATATAAACGAGGTAGATATTTTTATATAATAATCATTTATTAATTTAATTACGATTATTACGTTAATGACAAAATGCTATTCCTTCCTCTTCAGGAACTTTTAGATTGTTCTTCTCTCGTACATGCGTTTGTATCCATGTGTCTGTGTGCATGCTGAATGCAATATACAAAAGCGCAACTTAGCGATATAATAAGAAAATGCCAATAAAATTATGAATTTTCATATAAATGTAATGTATATGGAATCTTATAATTGATTTAATGTATTACTAATGTTGGAAATGGAAGTGACATTATCTTATTTCTTCTCTTTCATAGAATAAACATTTGGATATATTCAAATATTCTCTTCGCGCAATAATTACCAAAGTAGAGTGAGATGAGGTTATTTCATACACTAACAAGACTGTGAAAGACATAAAATTATTTTTAACAATACATATATATATAAACAGATAAATATCATTCTTCCTCTCAAGTAATGATAATTTTTATCTACAGATATGCATTAATCTATTATAAGTGATATTTCCATTCTTTGCTAAAGAATGCTCTTTAACAATAATCTGTTAATAGTCTTGCTGCAAATTGCAAAAATACTATTACGCTTTTTTATTAATCACCGTGCAAACTTAGTGTATAAATTATTTCAAATACCAATAGAAATATTTAATCTTTCACAAAAAGATGTAAAGAAAATTACAGATTTGTATTTGTGCGCATATATGTGTGTGTGTGTGTGTGTGTGTGTATGCATATGCACACACGCACGCACGCACACATATGCGTTAAAAAAAACATTGTTGTTATAACGTGATGTTAGTCTGCTTCTCAATTCCTTACTTCGCAAGCAAAGGAGAAGTAAAGAAAAATCGACGACTTGTAAAAGCAACATGCTATTGCGTAATATTAAATTTATATTCAAATTATATTGACATTATCCTTTCTCCTCCGCTTACGAAAATATTTAATACATTTCAGCATTTTACGATATACATTTATTTCTATTGTCTTATAATGCCTACATTTGTAAATTGATCTCTTGAAGAAACGAAGAATATCGCTTCAGATAAGAAGCATAAAAACTAAATCTCTAAATTCAATTCTGTTTAAGAACAGAATCTCAATGTAGATGATAATATAACGTAACTGTTGGTTACGTGATAGAAGTGAAATTTATCGGATATTTCAATTTTTCCAAGATTTCTTCCAAGAGTAAAAAGATCAAAAATAATGTAATAAAATAAAATATGTCATTTATCACTTTGAATTAATACTGAACTTGTCCAAGTTTCAAAAAATCCAACAAATATATTCTTAATATACAGACAACATTCTACACGTATAGTGTATTATAAAGAACATTACAAAAACAGTATATAACATTATCGTAATTTTATGTACCTGTTGACAAAATACACAGCAATAAGGTATATTCCCTTAGGAACATGGGTTCTTATATCGATAACAAATTCCCTAAGAAAATCGCGCGTAAAGTTGAGTATGTTGGATAAGGCTCATTCGCGTATTAAAGCTTATAGAATAAAATTATCTAAATAATAAAGTAAAAATGACTTGCTGACAGAGATATGAACGCTATATGAACGTTACATAAATCTAGCGTAATAACTATGTCCGTAAAATTGAAAGTGCGGGAGGACCAGATTGCCTCATCATCATAGCAAAATTACTCAATCCTTGGTCGCTTGGCTGCTGATCGTTGGGATTGTTATGTGAAATATTTAAGTGTTTGCCTCGACTGCTATTATGACTTTGCAAATGTTTCTTCAAGTGATCTTTTCTATAAAAAGCTTTGCCACATTCGGTACAAATTTGATTCTTGCTACCTGAGTGAGTAATCATATGACGTGCCAGGTGCTCGTTACGTTTAAATGCTTTACAACACATGTTACATTGATATGGCCTATCTTTATTATGACCTTGCTTATGACGATCCAAGTGTTCCTTTCGTTTTAAGCTTGCCCCGCAAATATCACAGATATGTGGTCTCTGTTTATGATCTTCAAGATGTTCGTGAAGTGCCTCTCGATCATTAAATCTATATGCACACTCGGGGCAATGGTAAACCAACATACCTTTATAGACAAAGAATATTGTATGTTATATATAGAATCGTCGATAATAAAATAGAGACAAATATATTTCAACATTTCAACAATGTTTCTATAAATATCTTATCACATGCAATTATAATTTGCAAACAAAAGGTTGCTTCGATATAAAGTATTAACTGCGACTCACCATTAATATGCTGTGGTTCAATATCAAATTCGATTTTTGCTCTTACTTCTTGATACGTAGAATTTGTACCACAGTCCTCATATTTAGTCGCGTATGGTAAACCTAACGTACTAGAGCAACGTGCCAGGCATTCGGAAAGCCTAAAATCAATTTGCAGAGGATCCGTCATAGTCGCAGCGTCTACTTTCTGCACAGTCTGTGTGTTGGATGACTGCTGTGAGATTTGTGGACAAAGTTCTTTGCTGCTGCGCAAATTGTTGTTTTCATTCCGATTTTCATCGGTTTGCTGGAAATGCTGCGGTGGATGACCAGAATAATTGTATCCAACCACATTGGGCCGCTGCAAGGTATGGTTTGGTGGATATTTCACGTTACGTGGATCGTAAGCCATTATTACCAAATGAAGAAGTTTGAAGTATATCTTAGTACCCACTCTTGAGAAATTACTTCATATTAATCACATATACGATGATGTCTACAGTAATATCTGCAATATCTGCATTGTCGCCTAAAAAAAAGAATAGAGAAAATTTAAAGGGACTTACTGAGCATGCTGTTGCAAGTCGCGCATTTATCATATATGTCAAATATGAATTACGGTGTATTAAGAGACTATGAAAAAGTATCTTACTGTGGCAGCATCATCGTAGAAAATATACCCGCCGCGTGCTGTTCCGTTGTTTCTATCATGCTCATCTCGTCGTTTTTTCGATACTCCTCTGGCGAAACAAACGTTTCCGCATTGTCGAGGAGTCGTCGTTGGCAGTGTCGGCACCGTCGAGGGATCGGGCGAATTTGTCTGCATTCATCGAAAACAATTCCAGTTACATTCTCACTTTTGTCTACTACGATATTACATTTTAGACAGTGTTAAATAATTCAAATGTTACTGAAACGCTGTGGGCCTATTCACTAAATCCACTTATGTATTGTGAATATCAGTGAACATAGTGAATATCATGATCGGTATCAAGTCATCTTTACAGCATCTTTATCAGCTGCTATGCGTTCTGAAACCTTACTCTGGCGCGATACACACACACACACACACACACACACACACACACACACACACACACACACACAGAGGGTATCCGGCAAGCTTCTATCATAAAGCGTGTATAGATAGAGCGAATTAAACTGAGTTGAAAAGTCCTTTACCATTTTGCAATATAGTTAACGAAATATTAATTATTAAAAATTGCCGAAAATTGGTCTTCAATAATTTTTTATTCAAATACTATTCTATTTTACAGAAAAACTGCAGCAGACAAAAATGGTTGATATTCTTTTCATAAAGTTCTAAGAATTTTTTATCAACTTTTTAGTATTGCATTTTCTTATTTTTACTAACATGAGAAAATACAGTATTAAAAATTCTGAAAAAATTCTCAGAACTTTATGAGAAGAAAATAAACAATTTTTGTCTCTTGCTGTTTTTCTATAAAATTAATAGTATTTGAGTAAAAAATTATTGAATAATCAATATTAAGCGATTTTTAATTATTAAGTAATTAATATCTTGTTAACTATTGTGAAAATTGCAAAATGATAGAGGTCTTTTCGACTCAGTTTAGTCCGTTCTATCTACACATGCTTTATGGCACAAGTCTCACCGAACACTGTATAGGCAGAATATAATGTATTTGTTCCAAAATTAAAAAAGTATTCTCAAGCGTACGTACAGTGCAGTTTTATCGATACGTCAATGTTAAAATCCGTGCGGCGGCTTTCATTTCTTCACGCTTTGATCTCGCACTGACAATGAGTGTGTCGCCTCGCTCTTACTCGCTCCTTTCCGAATATCCGAAATGTCGGATTGTCACCGACTCGTTCCGTCTTGTTTCGTTCCCCGCCGCTACTGCACCACTCCTGCTCTTCATATATATGCATGTTCATTCAGACATCGCCTTAAGTGTGATATATACATATACTGATACATATATACCTTCACATTGTACCACTTTGAGTTGAGGGTCTTTGGGATTGATCAAATAGATCGAGTTTTGGAACGCACACTCTACCCACAAATGAGAATGGATTAAAATGGATTGAAATTTTTTTCTATTCGAATGCGTATTTTAAATAGCGAATACTTTTTTTTGAATTCAATTAAATTCAATCGGATGCAATTGGATTGAAAAACTGCATTTCCTATTCAAAATTTTAAATTGAACAGTATTCACAATGGACAGAAAAATATTATTATTTTTAGATTGAAAGGCATAGAGATATGCTCCATGCAATTCCTATAAATGAATAAAAATGCATTCAGAATTGAAAAGTTCATTTTAACATTCGTGAATCAATATTTCCGAAAATCTGAATCTATTTCAATTCATTCTCGTTTGCTGAGCAGTCCAATATTTCGATTACTACTTGCAAACGAGATAAAAAACGAAAAATTTATAAATATGGTTTTTATCTCGTTTGCAAGTAATAATCGAAACAATATACTTCATGCGAATTGTGGGGGACCGAGATGATCATATCTCAATAAGGGCAGAACCGATCACGTTCTATGTACGCTTAATCGATAGCATACACCGGTTGTATAGTACGTGTTTTTATTTTTTTTCTCTACATACCCTACGAGCGAAACTATTGCGACGCAAAATACGAATCTGAAACTTTTAATGTGTAAGAAATGTCGTCATCGTCACCGCTATGGAGTGAAGGAAATCCTTTTGAAATTTTTGGCGCAAGAGGTAAATGTGGCGCTAACACTGCATGGTCACATCACATATGGGGTGCATCCGTTTATGCAGTGGATAACATATCCATTGCTTTCTTATCTGCTGGTCACATGATCTAAATTTACCGAATGGATCTCTGTATGAATAGCTGCTTGTATACCGTATTGGATCGTATCTTCCAAGAGAAAATCTGGAAAAGCTGAACTGATTGAAAATTAAGATCCAGGGGCCTTATTCTTGAACAAATATCGCACAGAAATAGCAATTCCGCATATAATCGATCAATCATAAT